TCATGGCCCACATCCATCACTTGGACAGGCCCGTGTCCTCTGTCTTTCATCTTCTAATCGTTAAGCAAGAATCTTTTCTTTTGGCCTTCTATTCTTTGTAATTAGAATCTTTCTTTTTATCTTGTTTGTCCTGAGCTATGAAGTTGTATTTGGAAGAGTAGGAAAGCTTAGAGGCCAGAGTGAATATTTGCCAACTATGTGAACTTGAAGCCATGCTGGTTAAACTGAGGTAGTGTGGACAATGTAGTTTTAAATGCTTAACCAGGTAGCATGAAAAACCTTGAGTTTTAGTATTGCTTACTAAAAAAATTTACATGCATTTATTCACTTACTGCTATGGGGGAAGCAGGTATAAAAAGTTTCATTTATAGTATGATGGTTAGAATGCTTCCAGAGTCCAAAACACCTAGTTTTAAGACATAACTTTGGAGTGCATCTGTTTGTAATTCAGAAACTCCTTTTATAAACCAAGACTTGAAAAATATTTAGTACTTTTTGCATCAGCATGGAAATTTTTGTAAGTTCTACAATTTTTATTTTAAATTAATATTTTACTTTATTCTTATAGCAATTTTAGATTCATAGCAAAGTTCAGTAGAAACTACAGCATTAACATGTCCCTCTTTGCCTCCTGCCTCCGTTATACTGCCTTTGTTGGCATTCACCACACCAGTGGTGTGGGTGCTGTATGTTACAGTCTGTGAACCTGCTTCAAACATGCATTGCCACACATAGTTCCTAGTTTACAAGGCACCTTATTCTTGGTGCTGCACAGTTTATGGATTTTCACACATGTATAGTGATACATTTATCCAGCTGTCACGTCAGTGTCTAGCTACCCTTTGGTACCTGCTGACATATTTTTAGTCCCTCCATAGTTTTGCCTGTTTGAGGATGGGATATGTTTGAAATCTTGCAGTATGTAGCAGTATATAGATTTTCAAGTTATCTTTTTTGACCAAGTAATGTGGATTTAAGGTACATCTGTGTCTTTGTGTGGTTGAGCTCTTTTGCACTGAGTAATATTTCATCATCTAGATGTAGCAGCTTCTAGTTCTAATATGTCTTGGTTGCTTTCCAGTTTACACGATTATGAATATTCCTGCTATGTATAGGTTTTTGTGTTGAGTTTCCAGTTTCCTGGCTAAACAGCAATAAATGGTGGTTGCTGGTCATATGGCAAGTTGTGCTTAGTCTCTATGAAACTGCCAGATTATCCTCCAAAGTGAATTCTCCACAGGCAAAAACAGGGAAGTCTAGACATTTTGCATTGCCGCTTTCATTTTACTTTACTACAGTAAGTAGTTCTGTACCCTTTGTTGAAAAGCTGCTTTTTTTCTGTTGTTACGTGTGCACCGACAAAGATTAACTGTCTTTGGTGACCCTCTGATTTCCATTCTGTTCTTTTGCTCTCTCTTTCACTTATACACACTGATGTCCTTTATTTGTAGTTGTATTGTAAGTCTTCAAGTTGGGGTAATTAACGCCTGTCTTCGTTGCTTCCTTCGTGAGTAATATTCTGTTTTTCTCCACATAAACTTTAGAATCAATTTGTTGATATCCATAGAAGAGTTTATTGTTAGTTTTTTTTCTTTGAACATCACTGATACAGAGGTGAAGTTAGAAGAAGTGACATTTGACACTAGTCTACCTAATTTGATATGCAGAGTATCTGTTCAACTAGTTTCATGGTCTTATCTTTTTAAACATTTATTTTTATCTTATGGGCAAGTGTTTCTCCTTCATATATGTATATGCACTGAGTGCACACAGTGCCTGCTGAGGGTAAAAGAAGGCATTGACACTTTGTGAAACTGGAGCTACAAATGGTGATGAGTCACCATGTGGGTGCTGAGAACTGAACCTGGTTTTCTGCAGGGTAGCCAGCGCTCTCAGCTGCTGACTCATCACTCAGTTGACTTACTGCTTTAAATGTTAGTTAGTTGATGCAGGAGAAATTACCATTGAGCCCATCAGTGATGTCACTGTTGACCTTAGATGAAAGTTGTTTCTATAGAAAAATGAGGAAAGGTATTCAGTTTGAAACTACTTTAGAAACAGAAATTGAGAATTTGGAGGTGACAAGACACTTTCAAGGACTGTTCTATTAAAGGAACCCTGATTGAGTTAAAAGCTGGAAAGAATAAAGAAACAGTTTGTCTCTTAGTTTGGTGTGGGGAAATGGCATTGCTGGATTCATGTGGATGTTGTTCACCTTAAAGACAAAGGTAGATGATGTAAGGCAAAGTGGAAGGAAGGTTGTGTACATCTGTCCTGTGGAAGGGAGAGAATTAGAAAGCACAGAAGTCATAATGAAGGGAAATGGTTGGCCGTTTTCACCCTTTTTTTTTTTTTTCCACTCAGCTGTGAGACCCCATTGGCAGGGGTGCTGCTAGCTTGTGACATGCTCTGAGTTAATGGACTCAGTCCTGATGCTCTTCATCTTCAAACCTCTTGGCGGGTCTGTCCCAGCCTCTCTCTATTCCAAAAGATGCCTTAAAGGAAATGAAAATAGACTCCTTAGGCTAGGTGCTTCTGTTATGCTAATATCCTCATGTAATAGTGTTACCTTTAACACTATTTAACACCCTTTTTCATGCAGCATAAGAGGGGAAAAGGCAAACTTTAGAATTAATTCAATTTCATGGTGGGAATCTCAGCTTTTCTACCAGGTAATGGGATTTAAGATGGATCCTTCTTCAAGGGCTGGTAGAATTATCCAAAGCACCATCTTTTCTGTCTTCACTTCTGCAGTCCATTAAAAAGACTGACATCAACTGACCTCTGTTCAGTCATCTGAGGCAATTTGGTTATTTGGAAGTTGCTTATTTGGGTACTTAAACAAGTAAGTATTTGCAAAGTCTGTTTGGAGAGCAGAGTAGCCACAGTGAAATTAGAGGTGCAAATGGGAAACACTTGAGGACTATAGACTAACCTATGTTGAGATCTTGTCATTTGAAGTTCACTAGTTTTTGCAGCATCACTTTTGCAAAATGAATAACATGTAGTTAAACTGGTGCCTTATTAGTAATATGGTTGCAGTACTTCAATAGGACCTCCAGATCATTTCTAAATTGAAAGGTAGTTTAAAAGAACAAAAATACATGCATACGTATGTTTAGAAAGCCAGGATAATTTGCAATGTAGAAACCTTGAGAAAACTAGGTGTGAGATGTCTTGGTTATTAAGGACACCTGCCGCCTTTGCAGAGGACCTGAGCCTGACTCCCAGCACCCATATCAAGTGGCCCAGAGGGTATAACATAGTCTCCTAGACTCTGTGGTTTCTTCACTCATGGGTACATGGCCTCCCTGCCCACCCCACCCACATATGCACATGACTAAAGAGAAAACGAAATTTTAAACAAATGGAGGAAAATGGCAATTTCTAAGGTGTGTTTGAACAATGTTACAGGACTCAGAGTTAGGTTACTAACCAGAAATTATGATTTTTAGATTATATTGTCCTGTTACATTTTTATTTCATAAATGATACTGATGTTGAGTACATTCCATTAAGATGTTTGTATGGTTCATTAGAATTCAAGTCTTAATTTCTTAACATTCCCCTACAAGGACCCATGGTTTCTGAAGCTGATTCCAGGGCTGAAAGGCTAAAACATTTTCTCGTGCCTGGAAAGAAAAAAAAAAAAGTGCTTTAAAATGACACTGACAATTTAGAAGCATGTTGGAGTATATTCTAAAATGATGCCAGCATGTTCAAAGCATGTTGGAGCTGTTTTGTAGACTCTCCCACTGGGCAAATCTATGATGATTCAAGCACCAAAATAATTAAATGCAATAATAATTATAAAGCACTGGAAAGATAGTACTTTGTGAGACCATATCAGTAACATACCATTTAAATAAGCATAAGGCCAGGAGGGGCTCAAGACAGTTGTTAAATGTGGAAGAAGAACTGGAGTAGAAAATCATAATGCCAATGTCATAGGAAAGTTCCGAGAATTCCACATGAATGTTAAATCTAGAGGAGAAATTTGAATGAAGACAAAGATACTTGCATAGTTGTAATCTAACCAAAGAGTACCTATTGGTTGCAGAACAGATAGTAACTAAGCAGTACAAAATTTGGAAAGCATCTTTAGTGGGTGAAGCTTAATATCGCCAGTGAGGGATAGGATACCAAATCATGTGCTTTAAAATGTCATGACTACAAAAATGCATGTTTCTTATTTACTTCTTTCCTTAGGAGTATATTGCTTGAGTCTAATTATGAGAGAAATACAGACAAAATCAGGTGATGCTGCACATTTTTTTGAGGGACTATATTCTGCTCCCCCCCCCCCCTCAAGTCAGAAAAATGAAATTCTGATAGGACCTACACTAGAGGAAAGAAGACATAAGTGGGTGTGGTGAGGTGTACATGATCGGTTGTGCCTGCACTTCAGATGCAAGGCAAGATGATTGCAAGTTCTAGGCCAGTTTGGGTTTACATAGTAAAATCTTGTCTTGGAATAGATTAAAAGTGTAAGAGTAAGATAAGATTTGTCCTGACCCCAAGACTGCATCTTTTATGTGGGAAGAAAATTAAGTATATTAAAAATTAGTTGACAGTTTTATCATGCAAATTATGGATTAGTGTGGGTGATTGTTGAGATTAAATGTACTGATTTGTAAATTATGTTTTGGAAGAGTCCATGTAAGTTTTTACATGGAAAGGATAACAATATAAGCAACTTAGATTAGTAAATGTTCATATGTGTATGTGGAGGGGTTGGTGAAAGAGAGGGAGATTAGGCAAATAGCAAAACACTAGCAAGAGTTATCCATTAAATTTATATGGTCTTTGTATTTTCATTGTAAAATTTCTGTTTATTTTGAATACTTAAAAGTTTATGCATGTGTGCATGCGCACATCTGGTTAGTCGTATTGCTGTAGATTGCTTATTGCTTATTTAACCTCTAGTTTTGCATTTATCTTAAGGTATTAACATACATTATTATAGATGTGTATATTGATTTTTAATTTCTTTCAAATAGTGCTGGGCCTAAAGGAGATAACATTTATGAATGGAGGTCAACTATACTTGGTCCACCAGGTTCTGTATATGAAGGTGGTGTTTTTTTTCTGGATATCACATTTTCTTCAGATTATCCATTTAAGCCACCAAAGGTAAGAACCTAGATGTACATTGATTAATGTTTATCCTTCTCCAAACCCACGTATTCTAGAATTTATATGTATATTAATGTAATAATTTTTATTTCATTGTGGTTTATGAACTAATATGGAAACTCAGAACCAATTATTTTAAAGCCAAAAGACACTGACATCTGCCTTTTAAAAGTAATTTTATATTTAATATGCTTTGTTCATAGTAGGTAAAACTAAAAGTGAGTAAAACATAAATGTAAACTTAACCAAAACTTCCTCTGTGAAATAAACCTGATTGACAGTTTTCAGAAATAGGTTAACAAAAATTTTGTCTTTATTCATAGATAAGCAAAAACTAGAACACTATAGAAAAAAAAAAAACAATACTTACATACTTGTTTTGTATCCTCTATGATTGTAATACAAAATGAAAGAGTGGCAGGCTCACTTCTTCCTTCTTAATTCATTTAAGTGGAGTGTCAGCTGGGTAACAGAAAGCTATGGCTCTGCAGAGCTTAAACTTGATGCTTATTGGATGGACTTCTTCTGACTACTCATTTTACCATAGTCAAGTAAAGACCCTAGAGCTTTTAGGCTGTGCGGCTGAGTTTGTTACAGAGGAATCAGGAAGGCTGTCAAAGCGATAGCCACCAACTAGTAAAATGCTTTTCTTCGTATACAAATGGGTATCTAAAAATAAAATAAGAATAAAACTAGATAAAGTAAAAACAAAACAAACTAGGACAAAACAAATACAAGAAAAAGAGCCAAAGCAAGTTTCTGACTTTTATGCGTGTGAAATGCTTCTTCTTAAATCCTAAAACTTTTCAAATATATGTAATGATTCAATGTATATCTGTATGTGTGTATCTATATATTTACCTTACCTATCTGTCCATACATCATATCTGTCTTGTCATTTTCAATTCTGTCCATGTGTGTGCATGCGTGTGCATGCACATCCCTGTGTCTGATTTTTAGAAAGGACATCTCTGGAAATTATTCTCTAATACTATAACAGTAGTCCCACCTAGTGTGGTTACCTTAAATTATAGACAGGGTGGTGGGTTAGTCTGTCTGTCTTTTCTCTTTTGAAAATAGAATCTTCTGTTGTACACATCCTGTTCAGTTTCTTCTCCCTCCACTTCTCCCAGCCTACAGCCCCATGTACATACACTTTTCCTTCCCCCATCTATTCCCTCTCCATTTCCTCATCAGAAAAGAGCAGGCCTCCAAGAGAAGAGAGCCCAGTAGGACAAAACCAGGTACAATAAAACAAGGTGAAAGCCTTCATATTGAGGCTGGACAAGGCAACCTACTTGGAGGAGAAGAGTCCCAAGAACAAAAAGAGTCAAATACACCCACTCCCACTGTTAGGAGTCTCCCAAAATTACCAGAGCCAAACACACACAGAGGACTTGGTGCAGACCTCTTCTGGCCCCTTGCTTGCTGTTTTTGTCTCTGGGAGAGAGGAAGGACCTTATGGAGGCCTGCAGTGTAGACTCTTTCCACATTCCTGGCGGTGGATCTCTGCACCTGCTCCCATCTGCTGCTGGAGGAAGCCTTTGATGACAAGTGGACAGGGCAGTAATCTGTGAGCATAGCAGAATACCATCGGGAGTCATTTCATTGGTTTGGGTTTGGTTTGGGTTTGCTGGTTGTGTTTGGTTCTACCCTGCCTAGGACTCTGGGCTGTCCATTCTGGGTCCTGGCCATCCAGGCAATATAGTGCATAGGCTTCCTCCGTGGGCCTAAAGTTAGGCTGGGCATTGCTTGGCCACTCCCATGTGTTCTCTACCACCTTTGCCCCAGCACATCTTGCAGGCGGGATGAATTGTAGGTCGAGGTTTTGTGGTTGGGTTGATGTCCAGGTTTTGGTTTTTGTTTTTGTTTTTTGTTGTTGTTGTTGTTGTTGTTTTTTTTTTTTTTTTTTTTGGTAGCCTATAGAGTATCTTCCTGTGCCAAAGAGACTGACTAGAATGTAGGGGTGAAGGCGCCAAGCAGATCCAGCTTGGACTCGACATTCAGTGAGCCATGTGGATGTCCTCGACAACCCCTCCTTCTGTCAGTTTGCAGAGTGTCTCTCTGTTCCTGCATCAGCATGGAGTGTTTGGTCCATTCGAACTCAAGATCCTGAAAGTTCTCTTTAGAAGCTCTTAAGGTCTACAGTGCTTGCTAAGTCAAATAAAGGCTCAGAGCCCTCATGATATAGTGCCACAATTTGGATCCTCATTGAGAGATAGGTATATTTTTAATGACAGCTTATTATCAGCTGCTCAGTTTTCATCCTTTGGTTGTTCTCTGTATAATAAACCTTTAGCAAATTTTATGTGTACTTATGTGAGATTTACACATGTGAGATTTTTCTTATTGGAAATTAGTTTTAACATTTTAGAGAGATAGGGGAAGAAAGTTATCAGGATATATTTGTATGGTATTTTATATGAAAGGAAAAAATAATGTAATTTAAAAGATGCCTACATTTTTCATAGCTCCATTAGTGGAATTGTCTGGCAGAAGGGCTTTGAACTACAGTCCTGTATATAACTTGACATTTTTATTAATATATAGCTGTTTATAGATTTAGAATGCTATGAAGTTCCAGTGTGTTGCATATGTAAATTGCTAATGTCTCCTTGTTAAGTTAGATTTCTTTTTATTCATAAATCCTATGCCTAAATGAAACATATATAAAATTTGTGGTTTGTTGGTATTAAAAGTGACTATTTCTTTTTAGTTTTTTTTTTTTTTTGGGGGGGGGGTGTTGGTTTTTCGAGACAGGGTTTCTCTGTGTATCTCTGGATACCCTGTGCTCTGTGTACCAGGCCGACCCCGAACTCAGAGAGATCACTTGCCTCTGCCACCCAAGTGCTGGGATTAAAGATTTACACTACCACCACCCGGCTTCTCTATATCATTTTTGAAGTTCACATAAAGTATTAAACTTCCTAAAGAGCAACAGAAAATCTGTTAATGGATACTAATTTGTTTAGTTACTATTTGTAGCTGGAAGAATTTAATAATCAATTGTATTTGAAAATAATTTCTATTTCTTAAGTAATCAGCTATCAGTCATCTAAACAGGCATGCATTGCTTCTATATTCTTGAACAACAGTGTCTAATAGAAGCATAGTGGCACAGTAGCACAGTACTAATTACTTGTCCAATTTTCAGTTTCCATAGCCATATTAAGTAAAAAGTAAATGGAACTAACCATGAATTAATTTTAATGGTATGTTTAACCCTGTATAGCCAGAGTGTTACTATTTCAGCATGTAATAAGTAATATCCTTAGAAATATTATTAATAAGCTCTTTTACATTCTGGTTTTGAAACCTGGTGTGTTAATTCAGATCTCTGTATCCCCATATAACTTCTTGCAGTGTGTCATAGTTTTCTCTGTGGCCCTGACTACGCCGTCATTGGGTAGTATGTTTGTGTGCTCCTACACTCTTCCTACCCAAAGGCACTTTTGGAATATTCTTCCTATTCCCAGATTCTTCTTTGAAGCTCACAATACACTGCTAATTTTAAGATAGTGGTTTCTTTTTTTCCTCTACATGTTCAAATGATGAAGTTATCTCTCAACTACTTTTTGGCTTAGAAACATGCAATATATATTCCTGAGAAAAAAATATATCAGTTTCTATGATCCAGTAGCTAAAACCCTTGCCTTTTTCTGTCAGGGTCTAGCTAGACACTGAAGCAACTGTAGGAGCGTGACTAAGAGAAAGGAAGGTAACAGATGCTGCTGTGGGCCTCCTCCTTCATTGTGTTCTGACATAGCATGAAGTTTGCCTCAGTTGGTGATAGTACTATTTTCCCTAGAGGCTGACCTGACCTTTAAAGAATTGTTCATCTTTTCTTACCTTTGAAGCCTAAACATGTCTCCACTTTCCGTCTTCATGTATGTCCATCTTCATGTATGTCCAAAGATGTGTGTGATATGCGGCTACACACATGCATGCATATATGATGTCATTTATGAAAATCTAATTGATCAGTTATTCACCTGTTCACTTCGTTCTTAAACCAGGGTGGCGCCTGGCATTGTATGCATTGTTACCTAGAATTCCAGTACTCGGGACGCAGAGGCAGAAGGATTACTTTAAATTTGAATCCAGTGGTCTGCACAGCAAGTTCAGGTCAGCCAGACCTACATCCCTAAGGACCTGGTGTCAAAAACAAAACAACAGCAACAATAAGAAAACAAAACATTAACTAAATAAAGCCAGTTTTGGTTTTTTCTATGTTAAGTCAAAACCAAAAAATCAATACTTTTAACTAAAATAAAACTACTTCACTTTTAAAATAGTTTTTCAGATTTTACAAATAGTTTTCAACAAAGGTGTTTGACCTTGTTGTTACACCCAGTGTGGGAGTAGCACTGCCGAGTGTTTGCTGACAGCATCGCCTGCAGTGTGTTACTGCTCAGATGACTCGGGGCACAGCCTTATCCTCTCCTGTGTCCACTGTGTGCAGGTTACCTTCCGCACCAGAATCTACCACTGCAACATCAACAGCCAGGGTGTCATCTGCCTGGATATCCTGAAGGACAACTGGAGCCCGGCTCTGACCATTTCCAAGGTTTTGCTCTCCATTTGCTCCCTTTTGACGGACTGCAACCCTGGTAAGCAGAGCTTTACAGATCTACAAATAAGGCTTCTGTGTTTAATGCATATCAAGAAATAAATGTTATTATTAGGAAGATAAGTATAAGATTTGTTGAGGGATAGTATGGAGGTTGAGTCAGCCAAATACTAGGGCTGACTTCTGACATGTAGACTTCATAATTAGCTGAGGCTACTTGGTGACATCTTCTATCAAAAAAAAAAAAAAAACCAAAAAAAACCAAAGGCCAACTGTGAAGAACCCAGGCCATTATAATTACAATTGCAATTACAATTACCGGGCCAAAAGTTTCTCAATATTCATTTAGTTTACTATGTCATAGCCGTCTGTGATTATTTTTGTACTATCAGCTTTGAAACTTTCAAACTGTAGGGCTGTATAGACCATTCCTGTTAGAGATATGCAGTGTCTCTGATTTCTTTTCCCTGCTTTTGTGCTGCCATGTTCTTTATTATACTTACCTAGTAACTGAGGGTTTCTCCCTTTTGGTATTAAATAGAGTGGTGATGGAGGACGTCACAGTGGTAGCTCATGAATCAGTCTAGATAGTTACTGTATAAGTCCAAGTTATTAGTATATAATATAAATTACTAAATTTCTGAAATGCAGTAAGAAGTTGGACATGGGTAGCAGACTTGTTAGAGTCATGTTTAGACCTAGAGTTTCACATGTTACTGTGCAGGCTTGGCTATTAGATAGGAGAGAGGGTTCAAGAAGGAAGAGATAATTATGCATCTATTTAAGCAGAAAATTAGAAATAAGCAGAATGCCTAGTAAGAGATTAGCTGTTATAGAATGAAACAACTCTGAACTCACATGGCAGCAGTCTAAGGTCTACTATGTCAGGATACAAGGGTCTGGAAAAGACATGCACACAGCAGGGCTAAGTCGTAAATATGAGGTATATGTGGATAACTGATGACTTCACAGTGTAAGCATTTGTTGCCAGGGAGAGGATCCTGAGTCTTTGGTGTCCAGAAAGGAAAGCTCTACTGTCTGTATTGGCTTTGTTTGGAACAATTTCTCTACCATGTACACATACTTTGCTTATAAAAGTTTTACTTTCAGATTCCACTTTTACTTCAAAATTCTATTTAAAGTGAAATGACAGGTTTTTAGTGGCTTATGTTTACAATTATAGACATTACTGCTTAACCAGCAGGGAACATTTCATTCTGAATAGCATTGTAAGATGGAAGCTTTATGTAAAACTTAGGTTAACACAGATGATGCAAAACAAAACAAACATGTAGCCTCTTTGTACCACACTGTCATAGTTGAATAAAATGTCAAGAATGACATGACAGGGAAGCTGCATCCATGCTATCTCAAAGAGTATCTGAGGCCGCCTAAGCAAGACCTGCACAGAGGTGTCAGTAATTGGATGCCAGTGTGGGAGGGGGGAAGGGGTAGGCCTTTGACAAATCCCTACCCATGAATGAAGAGCTACAGACGATCGGTGGCTGCTGAGGGAGCAAGAGTGGTTGTGTGTGCGCACACAAACATACATACATATATATACACACATATATATAGACATATATACACATCACGTTCTGCATGTGACAGTTAAAACACACACACACACACACACACACATGCACACATTCATACACATTTTATAGTGACGAGTCCCTGATAGGTTATGTACTTAAGTGATCAGCCCTAACTAAACACATTGACTGAAAATAGAGGGACAGAAGGAGGAGTAGTGTGTAACAATGATAACAAAAGCTGTCATGAATTCAGGGAGAGACAGAAGTCAAAGTAATGCAAATATAGTAGTCATGTATGATTCTCAAAACTAAGTTTAAAATGTTAAGTGGAATACATTTCTTACAAATTATTTATTAATATATTGCTTATAGTAGAAAACCACTATAAGTGGTGCTCTTGTTTAAAACTTTACTTTATTTGGGATGTGTAGGCCTCTATCTCCCTTCTACCAAACCCCCAACCTCAAGTAGGAGAGAGAAAAGGTTGGTGGGGAGAGCGACCCCAGACCCTTTTACTTCTCCCGGCTAGTTAGGATCAAGGGGTTCTTTTAGGCTCTGTACCAATCTCCGCCAACCACAGATGCAGCCAGCAGGCTCCATCAAACACCCCACTGTCTCTTTACACTCTCAGAGTCCTAGACCACACCCCTCTCCGTGGAGCACAGGGAAGGCCATTATCAGCTGGCAAACATCATGCCCTGCATGTGACGATTAACAAGTGTGGACAAACTAAAGTCCCACACTTTGGATTAAAACAAAAGCATTTTTACATAACATACAAAGAAACCAAAACTTCCATTACAATTGCTGATGTCTTTGAAAGGGGCTTTCTTCTTTTGAATATTAAACTATATAGCAGGTTTCTCGACTATTTTCTTTGGAAAAATCAAAACATTCTGAATTAAAAATGCTGCTAAAATGTAACTGTTTTAATTAGTGCCTTGTTGGAACCATATGTCTAGAACACACCTGATGTCTTAATGTCGTTTTCACTTTTCCAGCGGATCCTCTGGTTGGAAGCATAGCCACTCAGTATTTGACCAACAGAGCAGAACATGACAGGATAGCCAGACAGTGGACCAAGAGATACGCAACATAATTCACATAATTTGTATGCAGTGTGAAGGAGCAGGAGGCCTCTTCCCACTGTGCTGCGGATCTTTATAGCCTTTACAATACGGACTTCTGTGTATATGTTATACTGATTCTACTCTCTGCCTTTATCCTTTGGAGCCTGGGAGACTCCCCAAAAGGTAAATGCTATCAAGAGTAGAACTTTGTAGCTGTAGATTAGTTATGTTTAAAATGCCTACTTGCAAGTCTTGCTTCTTTGGGATATCAAAATGTATTTTGTGATGTACTAAGGATACTGGTCCTGAAGTCTACCAAATATTATAGTGCATTTTAGCCTAATTCATTATCTGTATGAAGTTATAAAAGTAGCTGTAGATGACTAGGAATTATGTCATTTGTATTAAGCCCAGATCTATTTCTGAGTATGTGGTTCATGCTGTTGTGAAAATGTTTTACCTTTGTCAGTTTGTAATGAGAGGATTTCCTTCTACCCTTTGTAGCTCAGAGAGCACTGATGTATCATCTCAAACACAATAAACATGCTCCTGAAGGCATAGTTTCTTGTCATAATGTTGAAAGTCTTGTCAGAAGGTGTGTCTGAGATGATTGTTGATGAAATAAAGATGCGGCAAGAGATTGATTATTAAGGACTAGTACAAATGAATTAATTAATTAAATTGAAAACATTTAAAAATCCTAAGTCTGTAGAGTTTTTTCCTTTAAGGAGAGAATACAGTGGGCCTATATATGAACCTGCATTTAAACCATTGGTCTTAAGAAAACAGCAACACATGAGTTCTACATTGACGTAGCATTTGAATTGAAATTGAAGTCCTGGGCCGTTCAGGACTCTCCATGTCTTACAGACATTTTGTTTCCAAATTGGTGATTTCAGTTTAGAGTTGGGCAATGTTGTCATACAATTGCTAGCCGTGATTGCTTTTTATGGTGCTTTTCCCTTCAATCCTGATCTTGAACTTCTCTGGTGCATTACTGTTACTGCGCTACATGACCAGCGGGTGTAGCCAGAGGCCCACAACCCTGTCCTCCCTGAAGGTGAAGGCGTGCTAGTGTGCAGATGTGGCACTCTCGGTTGTAAGGACCTAGAGGTTAAACTACTTCTCAGTATAATTACCAAGTATACTTTAAGATTGTAATTACTAAGCTTCTTAAGAGAATTGTAAACAATATAATTGTACTATTTTTTTCCCTGTGCCTGGAATAAATTATCTGTGGTCAGTGTCTTTTCTGGTCCTAAATATGGAAATATAGTACCATAATAAAATTTATGAAAATTAATTCCTAGGATAAAAGCAAGCATTGTTTTGGACTGAAGAATGCTAGCTCAGTCCTAGAGTTACCAACACCACACACACACACACACACACACAAAGACATCTCAGGAAAGTGAATCGTGTAGTTACATAGACTGCCACTGTAAATTAGGGAGCTTCTGCTCAAGTGTTTGATGATAGAAGTCTTAAGTCAGAGGAAAGCTTAAATTTAGCGCTTAACTTTTTCCTGCAACACACCCACTAACTTATAAGAGACAGCTAACAACGTGTTTAGAAGATTTAAGCTTTATCTTTGAAAACTTGTGAATCTTGTTTTAAATAGAAATTAAAAATCTACAGTTCAAGGCAGTGTGATGAGAGTGGAGGCCTTGTGCGTAAACCAAAACAATCTAATGAACCATGGTAAGCTCTGGAAAGCACTTCTTCCCACTGCTGAGGTTGGCCATTCTGTACCCTAAAGTAATCAGCGTCTCTTGGTGCTAGGCAACTTTCGTTTTGAAAACTACGGTGTTGCTGCATTGCCAGTCCAGTTGTAACTTTTAAGTGTGTGAAAATGGCCAAGCCACCACGTATGTCGTCAGGCCTGTGGTATTTTTGTGATCACATACCTTCTGAGGAGTTGGGCAGTGCACAAAATAGTGTTGAGCGTACATACCAGCTATAGTTATTGCCTGTAAAATAATCATTCATACATTAATTGTAACTTCTCCAACTAGACAAAGATGTTTGAGTAAATCTCTAAGATCTGCTTTAGTTTCAGACTATTTCTAGTGATTGTTGGGTAGCTTGTTAATATGTGTAACAAAAACACTTGGCATAGCTCCTTTGGTTTAAAAACTTTACAGTGAGACAAGTAATACTAAAAACAAAAACATTTCGCGTAACTATATCAAAAAGTTTGAGTTGCTAAACATACCAAATATATCATTTTAATTATGTGGACATAGCCTTTTCTTTTGAACTAGAGAGTCTTACCTAATTTTAGGCATAAAAATGTATAGTTTTGGCCCACACTACCTTTCCTCTCTGATACGCAAAGCACTTGAGCCAGTCCCCTGCTATTCAGGGGTATTCAGGTATTCCAAGAAGGACTGGTCTAAGTGTGAGGCAGCTTCAGTCATCACTGACATACATTAATGCATCACACTGTTAGTCACAGTGCAGATGGTGGGCTTTGAACAGATCATTTAAGTATGAGCTGAAACATCAGTTATTTTTGTCAAATGGCTTTAAGAAACTAATCTTAAAATAATGACATCATGGTTACATTTCAGTGAGTGTTCCTTATTGAGAGTAAGTAAATGTATAAGCCTTTTTGTGTTATATCTAGTCACTTTAGTTTTTTCAAGTAACACTGAATAAAAATAATTACATTTTAGTAGATATACGTTATTGGAGTCGGATCTCACTAGCTCTTCATCCTTCCCTTGGGGACGTTCCTTAATGTTTTCAGTATCTGTCTGCAGTGTGCAATTGAGCATTTCTGCATGGCGGGCTGATAGTGCTTTCACAATGGTCACAGCAGGCATTGCTTGTGCGGTGCTCTACCAATGGTAATGTGTGTTCTGGCCTTGCTCACTGTCAGACAGCATCCTCCTTGTTAATCTAGAGCTAGGAGATGCTCCTTCTGACAGGCACGTGTGCTCGTGCTCTTGCTGCTTCTTCTTCCTTCCTTCCTGAAGCTGCTGAACTCAGCTTGTCACCTACTGTGCATGTAACCACTTGTGTTTGGACTGGAAGTTCAGAGCAAATTTTCAGTAAGAGCCTTCAGTGTCAGCATACATTAATTCTAAGAAGCTAGGCTTTATAGGGGAAGAACTTTAAACTGTGTCTGACCCACATTTGTGTCCAAGGGTAGTTACAGACATCCTTGAGTAGCCTTGGTCACTAAGTGTAGGTTACACAGCCAAGCTCTGGAGCTTAGTCCTGGGTATGTTCTAAGTTGAGCAGAGCAGTGCACAGCAAAACAAACAGCTTGGCTGTAGGCACGGCGACTACCTCATCTGTGGAGGTCTGCCTTGCACAGGTCACGAAAGGTTTCCCACCATGTGCCCTCAGCTTGTCTCCAGCCCACCGCTTTGATGAGCATTCTGTCACAGCTCTCCTTTACCTGTTAGTTTGTCGGTCTTTTCCTGATACTATCTACACAAACATCGCAGAGAATCAAGCATGTGTTTTCTTTTCCTTTCTCAGCAACAAGCCTGTAAGTCAAGAACTCCTTTCTGTCTTTTTCTTATTGGCAATGATGGGAAGTGGGTGGACGGGTGGGTTGTGGTGGATGTGGATGCTACATGACCCTTAACTGGTCTGCACTGTGAGTTTGTTCTGCCGAGTTTAAGTGCTTGCTAATTGATTGGTTTATTTAGAGAGTATGAAACATGCAGAGATAATGCCTTTTCACATCCTTGTTAGGTAGTTCATCACTTTCCTGTTCAGATAGATTTTTCTTCCAAGCAAAAGAAAATACATCTTTGGTAAAATATATTCATTTTCTGCTGAATGGCAAGTTGAACAGATGTCTCTGCCAATATAACAATAAAAACATTGGTATAATGTTTAGTAAATTTGTTCAATCCACATAAGGTTCAATATACTTAATACTAACTGACATTTTAAAATTACTCTTGGGCTAGGAAGAAGACTCGCTAGAGAAAGGAGCTTGCCATGCAAGCATGATGAGCCGAGTCGGCCCAGAAGCCCCGTAAATGTAGAAGGAGAAAACACACTCCATATCCTTGCCTTCCTCTTAGACATTGCACACACACATGAAATGAGAAAAAATTAATATTACTCTTAATATTTTATGTCTGTGTCTCATATTTTGGCACTTTTCTTTGTTCAGTTTAACGTCATGCCCCTGTTTGGCTAGTGAGCCGTGGGAAGGTAGTTCATTTTCTCTGTAGCTGCAAACATGATTCCCATGGCAGTAAACATTCAGCGTAAGCTTAAGGCTGTCCCACACCACATGACCTTTGTCTGCAAAAAGAAGCCTGTCTTCCTCAGTTCCTCAGCACACTGATGGTGGTGCAGTGAACATAGTAGGTGCCGCTTGGATTATTCCTGTTAAAACTTGGGAAGTAATAACGCTGTCTGGTTCAAATGAAGAATGAATTGATTTTATAGTCTTAAAAGTTCATCAGTACACTAGAGATCAGCCTGATGACTTTGCAGTTTCCCATTGTCCTTGGCAACGTCTTAGTACACTCTTACTGATAAAAACATGCAGACATGTGTCCTGCAGCACTTCGAGGAGTGGATTACCCAGATGGGGCTTCTTGTGTTATCTGTAATGTAGCGTAGCTCGTAGCTGCGCAAGTTTGTGTGCAAGTATTCTGGTGTTTTTATAGTGCCGGAGAGCTGTCCCCCCATTCTCAGACAGTGCTGCCTTTTTTAAGAGCCTCATGACTATACCTGGAATTTAGGAAAGTAGGAAAATGGAAAGGGTGATCTTTGAGGGAATGACTTTATCAAAAGTTCTTTAAGGAAAAGAACTACATAGCAATATATGATACTCTGTGTGCTGCTGTGTGTTAGGGAGCCAGCCCTGAAGGTTGAAAGTTGTTAGTGAAATTTCCTATGTCCACAGTCTGAGAAGGGAAAGTGAAACGACATGCCAAAGGGCTGTTTTTACTCTGTTGCCAATGCTCTACCAGCTTACCTGTGGCTCTCTAATTCCAGTTATCACATTGTAACACGAGTATGAAAGTCCACTGAGTAAGCTGGGCCCACCTTATTCAATAAGGGTAGGAAATAAACCCACTGAGAAGTGGGTGGTTGAACAGTGCTGGCAGGAGCAAGACAGACAAGGCAAAAGTGTAAGGGAAGTTTAGCATTTTCAAGTGATTTGAGAGTGTGAGAGTTCTGTCAAGCTTCATGTTACTCTCTGTGAAGTGATGAAAAGTATCGAGTGGAGTATGAGGACTAAGGGAGTAAAGAGAGGGATCTGCTGGTTCCCTTATCTGCTTCCTCCATCGTTAGTGGAGCGCTAGCTTTCTGAACTTACCCTGACCAAACAGTGAAGGTTATAATGTATATATCTCCAGGCAGTGTTGAAGGTTATAATATATATACATTATACACACATAGTATGTATGAGAAAGTTTTCTGTAGGTTTTTAAATGGCACATTTAAAAATGCTCATTACATTTTACTTGTGTGTGTATCATCTTCATTAGTGAAATGTCTAGAAATAACAAATTTATTTTACTCAATATTTTGTTATTTGTGTATTTGGGAATATTAATATTGTCCTGGATTCTTA